TTCTTTTGTATTATAACATGAAATAATTTACAATTCAAAATTGTTTTTCCCCCCTGACATCTTTAAAATTAAAACCAGCCATTAACTCCCTGAAGTTGGTGGACTTTTTCTAAAGACTAAAGTAATGGTTTTTTTTTTTTTTAACAAAGCATATGTTCTGAATTATTTGTCTTTTAGATTGTATTTTCAAATCAGTGACTAAACCATTTTCTTGTTTGTTATATTTGTTATATTGTTGTTATATTTTCTTGTTTGTGCATAAGCTGATTCTCAAACTTATAAGTGAATATGTCTTTTGGAATAATTATTTTAATGAGAAATTATCAAAGTAGTCAAAATGCTGATTTTGTTGATTTGTTACAATATGTTTACAACACATTTTTTCCAAGTGGAAGATTAATTCAATGCTCTGATTTTCATCCCTAAATAGGGATAAATTTCCTCCCTAAATGTTAAATTACACATGAACGTAGAACTTATAAAGGCTATTGAGTTCAGTGATTTACTTTTAAATAAAAAGACTTTTCTGAAGTAGATTTTTTTTCATCCTCCAGGCCAGGAAAATATTCTTATGGATTTGTTGATTCTTTCCATGTTTCTCTAAATGATTAATAGTCTAGTTTGAGTATCTATGATACACAATATATCTAAACTATTGGCCAACCCAGTTTATAAAGCTAGGTTCAGTTTGTTTGATTGTAACCCATAGTGCTCTGGTGGCTTATTTTCAAATAAATGTGCTTGAAGTTAGAGCTTCCTTAAATACATAAAGACCCTACAAACAAATAAATGGGAATTGTTCTGACTATTTCACCACATCCTACTAAATTGTTAGTATTTGATCTTTTGTACCTATTGATTGAATTGTTATTGAGGCATGAGATGTTATCAGTTGTTCAGTGTGATGCCCTTTATGTTTCTACTCCTTCTGTTGCCATAGAATAGGGTCGTGATGACGAACTTATGGCATGTCTACAGGCACATGAGCCATCACCCCAGCTCAGTTCCACTGCGCATGCATGCGCGCCTCCCACCGGCCAGCTGAGTTTTAATTCTCTGCCGTGCACGTGGGAGATGCACACACATGCGTGGGGAGTGGGGGTTGTGCCCGCATGCCTCTGGGGCAGGGGGAGCATGGGAGAGTGTGGCGACCCCCCCGTACCCCATTTAATACCAAAATTCTTGTAACAGAATTTTTCACTATGGTTTCCATTTATGGGTTTTATTTCCCATGGAGGCCCAAAAACTTCTTAGACCTTTGAAAGAGACAGAGAGAACAATACCTCCTGCTTGAGAAAGAATTTTTGGGCAACCCTAACCAACCACAACACCTTCTTGCCTTCATTCTTCAGACTGCCTCAACTTCTGTTGGGGAAGATGACCCTAGCTTAAAAAAAGGGGGAAGCCATTGTCTCTTTGTAGTGCAGGACTATTGAACTGTGTGAATGTGGGTGAATGTAAGTGCTACAATTAGTTGAAAGTAATTTCTGGGACAGAGGGGGACAATTTCTTTATGGAGAGATTCACATGATAGACTCCACTAATTCAAGTTCAAACATCCTCTTGCCTGTATGGGAAACAGTTCCCAAGCTGGATGCGTGTGAAAACGGTTCTGTGGCATAACTTCCCAGCAATTTGGGGGATTATAAAAATTCCTTCTATCCTCTTAAGCCAAGAATCCCAATTTACATGTAATGCTAAACAAAGCCTTGATAGAGATCCCTTGATTTTTGTCATTCTCAGTGGTACAAAGGACTACCAGCATTATTCCGCCCAATTTCTAATGAATTCTGGTTTAAATCTGAGCACTATAAAATGGCAGTTGCCATTTTTAACATGTCCTTGGGTGTAATTTCACATATTTTTCGTTACTCTGAGAATCAGCTTGGAATAAATAAATAAATTTAGGTTCTTTAAAATTAAAACATTTTCAGGCTGAATTTTTTTTTTATCCTGCTATTAAAAACTGGACTTCTTTGAACTGGACTTGTTTTTTACCTTTAATTATTTGATATTGTAACACNTTGTCTTTATCTCAAAGTTATTTTTAATCACACAATTCACTCCTTTTTTATTGTCAATCACTACGTAGTATTGCATGAAATGTGCCCAAAGTCAAATATTTACATATATAACCTATTTATCTTTGCCATCATCTAATACAGATTCTTGGTGACTCATAACATGAAAACATAATAATAACATTTGTTAAATAAAAACGACAATCAAAATAGGCAACCCCAAAGACCAAAAGGCTGCTGGTATCAGCCCTTAAATGATCTATGAGACCCAGCTTGGTATAGTGGTTAAGGCACCAGGCTAGAAAACTATGTGCTGGCTTGCATGCCTAGTCCTTAGGCATGCAAGCCAGCTCAGCAACCTAGAGATTATAGTGGCTGAAATCTACACTGCAGCCGTCTGCTTGTTTATGACCTACTTTTCTCAAAAAGTAAGATTATTCAAAGGTAGCCAGAACAAGGAAGTAACCAGCATTGGTTTCTTGAACTTCTGAAGGATGTAACAGAAACCACCTACATTCATGGCTAGATCCACTTTGGAATTTGCCTTAGTGGGCAAAATACATTTAGATCTGGCAGCAAGATCAAGGCTATGGATCAGCTTCTTGAATATCTGCTTCTTTCCAATCAACTAGCCTTCTTAAAGAATACAGCCATATTGCTCAGAAATAATCATGATTAACTCAATTGTCATACCAATTACTCACAACACCAATGTTTCTAGAAACCTAGAAGAGAAAGGCTTAAATACACACATAAGTTTCAGTTCCCAGATAATGCTGGCCCACATTCACCAAATGGTGTAAGAGAGACCAATATTAATAGACAGGATAAAAATTAACAATGGTATTAAGATGAAATATATATTTTAATTATATCTATAAAATGGTATGTAGGAAACACCAATAAACAATAAGCAAGCAGGCAGATCATAAAAACCAGTGACAATTTATCTTGTTTCTGAGTAAATTTACTGAAACTTACTTTTGTTTGACATTTAAATAGAATTATTGTAGTCTTACACTAACAAATCGAAGTAGCCTTGCTATAAACCACATTATCTGAAATGCTTGATATAAAGTACTCAGATAATGTAAGTATATAGAATTAACTTTTAGCTCAGGATAATTTCCATATCCAGTAATTTACACAGAAATTCATTTCTAAATTTAATCTTCTATAAAGTTTCTCATACGTTTCATGACAGTTTCATTCTGTTAGTCTGCTCAAGGATTAAATATATTCCTTTTCTTTGTGGAAATTGCTGCAGACATTGTCTTTTTTTTTAATAAACCCTTTCATCCTTAATTTCTTAGGCATTTGTGTTGCAACTACTGAAAAATAAATGTGGGATGGAAACCATTTACTGTAAAATGTTAAGATAGGATATGAGCAGTTACAGAAATTAAAGGTGCATACGGAACCCCGAGAATAATTTAATGAAAGGGGACTTGAGAAGTAAAGGAAGTGCCAAGTAACATTAAAAGAAGTCACAAATATTTTGTGGTGCTAGCTGTTGTGCTATTTTCCACCAGTGAAAAACCACCTTAGAGTCTGTTATTACTAGTACCTCTTTCGCAATTTTATATTTAATTAATTCTATATTTCAGTAGGCTGTTCCCATCCAAGAAGAGTTTTCTATGCACATTCTAATGTGCATATTAAGCATAGATGGCACAGAAGGGCAATCAAAACATAAATATTAATAACTGTTGTGTAAGCTGTCCTTGAAGGAAGCACTGGAATGTTCAATTGTCATCACTATATAGATCACCTGAAAATTGCTTATAGCAACTTGACTGACTTAACTGTTCTCTGGCCTTGAGCCAATGGACCACCCAACTGTCAGCTCTCTGAGAAATGTGAAAGAAGTAAAACTAATGAATTTAGGAGAGAAAAAGAAAGAGAAATACTCTGCTTTAGACCAGTGTTTCACTTGTATAGTAGAATGTAGGACAAGTAGTCCTTAAGTTACATCCAGTTGTTCAATGACTGGTCAACGTTATGATGGTGCTGAAAAACATGGATTTACAACTGGTCCTCAAAATTCTGGCCATTGCAGCCTGCTGTGATCATATGATCAAAATGTTAGCCACTTGACATTTACAGTGCCCATTTTCCCTTTGCCATCCCCAGCAGAACTTTATTATCTTCTTCGTCTTTTCTCCTCTGCTAGGTTTACCAATTCTGGCTCAAGAATTATGGTGCAAGGCCTCTGTCAATTATGCTGTGCACTGTACCCCCACCTCCTCCTCCTCCAGATAATTTGCTTGGCAGGATAACTTGCTTAACTGAGTAACCACCAAGAATCGCTACCAGGTTTTTATTAGGCCATCTCATTCTCATTTATCCAATCCTTTAAGCCACTCTTATTTGTCATTCCTGAAGACTGTGCCAGCCTTTAAAAGAAAGCTAATGAAGGATGTTTTAGCAATGATTTCTGAGCAGTGTTGCAAGCATTGTTGCATAAATATCTGCTTTGCTTTTCAAAACATTGCCATAGCTAGAACTTCTTACCATTATTTGAGTTCCCTGCCGATTCATGTTGTTTGGACTATAGTAAAATACCAAAAGCCACAACAAGTTAGATGACTCTGCTTGTGACAGCAGCAACTGCTTAGCTGCAAGATCAGCCCATTCGCCAAAGTGAATCAACAAAAACCAGTGGTTGAAGAGTTCGTCCAAAGACCTGAAATAACGTCAAAATGTACATTAGCTTCTCTATTTACAGTACAATGGTACCTTAGTATTCATTGTTGATTGGTTCCAGGGGCTGCAGTGAATACTAAAAACAATGAGTACCGAACAATTTTTTCCATTAAGGAATAATGTAGTGCAGGAGTCTCCAACCTTGGCAACATTACGATTTGTGGACTTCAACTCCCAAAATTTCTCAGCCAATGCATCAGCTGACACTGAATAAGTTCTAGCTTGTGTGTTGTGTTCTGAACAAACGATGAGTACTGTGACAAAACTTTCGTATCAAAATAGGCTGAGTATCAAATTCGATGAGTTTCAATGCAATTGAATACCAAGGTACCACTGTATTATAATGTGACTTATGTTCTCAGAAGGCTCTGAACTGAAAATATTAAGACTAGCAAAGTTTTTTATTTGAAGATTAATGGGAATAGCAATAGAGCTAATTTTACACTAATGACAATAATGTATTGAAAATAATAGTTCGCTTCCCATACATGGTAGCAAATTACAAAAAAGATTGTTCACAAGATAAGACAATCTCTTAAAAAGAAGAAAGGAAACCCTTTTGCTTACTCAGAGTCTTCGACCTCTACTGTTGTTTTGAGCATTCCAGCAAGGTGGTCTAAATGCTGATATAGACTATTACCAGGCAAATCTAAAAAGAAACATGAACACCAGTATTAGGCATATTTTGATGCAAATATGGAATACAAATATAAGCACGACAAAATATTGTTTCTTTACTGACATACTAACTCAGTATTAATGAAAAAATGGAGCTGAGCTTACCTGAAGGAAGTTTAAGGAGAGCCATCACAAGTGAGTGTGGATTATGAGGAAAATAGGCCTTCAGTGGAAATTTATGCTGAAATGAAATTATTTTTTTAAAAAAATTCTAATTATCTTATGGACCTAAACCAATTTATGACAATTTTAAAAATTTGCTATAAGAGAAGATATGCATCTAAAGCACAAAAACTGTTTTCTGTACTTAAGGAAAACAACATTCCTGGTTTAGATTATTGCAATATCATATATACCACAACTCCTCAATGAACTTTTAATTACATTTTGAAATTCTGACCACTGCTACAGTACTATATCAGTGATGGTGTTTGGGGTTTTGCACGTCAAAAATTTGGAAAATTAGCTGGTGTGTCATACACACACACACACTTCCCCGAACAAAAGAGAAATAATCCCTTTCCCTTCCTTTCCCCTCAAACTAGCTGAACAACAGCACTTGACAGCAGCACCAAAGCTGGGCCTGAAATGGCTTTGACTTCAGCCTTAGGCACTACTGCTGGCACTCAAAAAAAAAAAAAAAGCTATTTTGCACCAATCTCCAAGGTTGGGGAAAAGTGCAGTTGTCTCTGGCCCAGCACTCTCCAGGATGTGCTGGGCACTGCTTATCTTCAGGCGGGGTCCTCTTTTTGTTGAAGGCCCCTACCTGAGGCCTTCATTTCTTAAAGCAGCTTCAGGGAATGCTCTTCCATGGCCTCTGTAGCCTCAGAAAAGCATGCAAAAGCAGACGTCATTTTCTTATGATTTTTGAGGCTCTGTACACTTCACAATACCATACCCCATTTTCACATGGCCTCTGTAGCCTCCAAAAATCACATGAGATCAGGCATGCTTTTGAGAATAGTTGTTATCAGGTGTTTGTGAGCATGAATATGTCACCCAAAATGTTCATGGCATGTCACCTTTGATACGGATCATAGTTTTGCCATCACTGGGTCAGTCTGTTCATGGGTCACTCTGTTCATGACTAAAGCATAAATAAATAAAAATCCAGAAAGCATTCCTGTCTGCCTGCATACCATACCAATCCCAAATTTTTCCCTTGAATTGTTACAGTAAAAGTAAAAAAATGTGTAACTAAAATGCCAAAACATATTAAATTATTAATATTTAATTATCAAAAAAGCTTAACAATGAAGCACATAAATAACAAAGTGATTAACACAGTTGGCTTCTGGCTATCTAAAGGGTGTGGAATTAAGTTTTAAATTCTCCACCCAGCCACCCCGTTCATGCCAAGGCAGCAAAGTTTGCTGCTGCCATATAAGCGAACAATGGGTGTGGCACCTATACATATTAACTTAGACAGCTGTAATTTTACTCCTAATTCATATCCTTTAAAACTCAGAAAAATATTTAATTACAATGCTAATTATAATTAATTACGGCATCATTTGCAAGATGAATAACCACTGATCAATAGACATCCCTCACAACGTGGAAAAACCACTCGAGGATCTAATAAAAGACATTTTTGAGCAGAGGAAATCTTGAAGTATTTGTGTGGTGCCCAAACTTAAATTTTCACAGCTACTTTAACTGACTAAATCAAAAAAGGAGCATTGCAAAATTAACTTAGATAATAATACAAATTAAAGGACAGTTTTATGCCAAATGAGGTTAGCTATAAATCAATGAGGTGATTTCATTGTTCATTATATAAATCCAAGGAACAAAAAAGGTCATCTGAATGCAAAAATAATAATAATGTCTTACTTCATATTTAAAAAGATACCTGTGTTTTATCCTAGATGATGGACCAGTAAGGTTCTCTATAAGTTATAAAGATGCATGTAAAGTTTCAGGTCATGTTCAATTATATCTGCATTGAAATATGTAGTGAATGTTGATATTAGCCAAGTAACAAGTAGATTGAGAGGTATTTATTGGCTTTGTGTCTAATTTAAACTTGATATAATTTAAAATTTTGAAATGGATGTTACCAAACATTTACTGCAGTCTAAAGGTATTATTTGGGTTGTTATATTTGTCCACCAATCTGAACTTCAAAATGATCATTTTGCCCTCAATTTTGAAGCATTTCATTTTTAAAAAATAATGAAAAAGCAACTTGACTAACCTGTTTATTATTCTCATGGTAAGCTTGAACAAAGCACTGTGTAAACACCTGCATTAAAGTCATTATTTCTTCAGCTCCATCAGTTTCCAGCAGTGCATTCCTGAGCAGTGAAAAGTTTAATTACGACAAGTCAGATTATGAGTGTGCCAATCACATAGTTTTTAATTGAGAGAAGGAGGTGAAAAAATACCCAAACAAGAACATTCTTCCCATGCCTCAACCTTTGGGCTTAATTCATCTAGCTTTTGGACTGCTTGGGAAGGGAAGAAAACCCCAACTTTGCTTTGCTTGCCCTTGAATATGACTATATTAAAAACCTATCTATTGTTGCCGGTAGAAGAAATCCTTCTGACAATGTTGGAACATTGTTTTTCAACTGCAAACTATGTGATCTACTATATCTACTATGATTGAAGTACACAGTTAAGTTTCTTAGTTACAAAATATCACACTAGAATATGTTGGTAAAATTAAACAAATGGTGGAAATGACAATAGAAAATGTTCCTGTGCATTCTATTACAATATTCTTTCATTTCCCTTAATCCCCGATATTTTAGATATACTGCTGGCTTTGGAAGCTAGAAGTATAATTAATTTAATGAGTCAATAAGTATGTTTTTGATGTGCAGCTCCACAAATCCCCATCAGCAATTTCATATAGAAACGATGAAAGTCTTGGATAAACTCTGTTTTACCAGTCTCACTAATTTACCAGCCTTTCCAATTCTGTAACTATGAATGCTTGGGAAAGGTAAAGAACTGGCTCTAGTGGAAGTGACCATTAAGTGAATATAACTGAGAGAGGGAGGAAGAATAGAATTTTTCATGTTTTCTAAACAAGAGTTTGCATTTCTAATGCTCAATTCTCAAAAATTGCTGCTATCAACATTCTGTATGATATACCTTTACACAGGTGATCTGCTTCTAATCCACTCATTCAGGTTTTAAGAGTCAGAATCTAATGATCAATAAAAGGTGTCTTAACCATTTAAAATACGTTAATTGCAACAGAAGAGCATTCCATCACAATAATTTAGGGAATGGGATTATGCAAGTCTCTGCTAATAAATCAGCTCTGTTCAGCTGTATACCTTATCTGATTTCCATAGAGAAATACATAACTAAAAGCAATTTTTCTTTGCACTACAGAATTAGCCATTTGTTTCAGATTCTTATTATTTTAATTATAAGTAATATAAATTCACCTTTGCATATAATTTTATTTCCACTAAGATCAGAAAGACATAAATGCATTTTTTCTGAAATATTTTGGGGGGATTATGTTTTAAATAATCCAGTCTAATCTTCAACTCTTAGTTTTCCACCTAAGTCCTATTAGGTCAGGTCCTGTTTGGTTTCTGAATGAAATAAGGCTACCTGGTGCAATTAAAGTCAATTGGTTACATTGTATTTTTATGAAAGTAATAGCAGAATATAAAATAGAGGCAATCCCCAAAACTATGTTCCACTTAAATTAGATGTAAACTTACTTGAAAATTTCATCAATAGTTCTAAAGACAGCTGGATAACATGCAGCTTGGTGCTGCAAAAAAAATTGCGGAATTTAGAACCTTGTAGGGGAAAAAAGTCATGTTTTCAACAATAAGAAGAAAAATGAATTGTCATCAGATTAGTTCAGCATTATCACCAAAAAGTATTTTTCCCAAATAGTGACTTTAAATGGCAAATGAAGCTGGAAGTGATAATAATCAAATGTAATAGTTTATTAAGTACATACATTAAAAATTAAAAATGTGTTTATCATAAAAACAACCCCATTCAAAATGTTTATTTTATTACAAACTATGCTCCAATTGAATAAGACATTCAGGGATGTCAATGATTTGTGTTCCACTAGAGCAGAACTCGATGCCAAGTTCATAGAAAAAAGTGAGAAACTGGAACAAACAATTTCCTCCTTTTTTTTTTTAACGTTGGGGCTATAAACCTAAATGAGACAGTAATCCATGCAGAGACCTGCCATCCAAGCTACAGAAACAAATATTGAGAGGGTGTGGAGGGTGCCTGTCTATCACTTGCCATAATAAAACAATTATTTATGACGAGGGAACTATGATTTTTTTAAAAAAAGAAAAGTTATCTACAGGTAATTCTTGGCTTACAAAGGAAATTGAGAAAAAATTGCTAAGTGGTGTGGTTGTAAAGCACATGTGACTCTGTTGTTTAGTGATAACAGTTCAGGCAGTCCCAGGTACCATTGTTAAGCAAGAGTATAATGTTAATGGATATACAAAGAAAGTAGTTTTGCTCAGGTGTTTTTCTAAAAAAGTAGAGAAACTGAAAGTTAATCACAATGAAGTGTTAAAATCCCTAATCATCATGTTCAGCAACAATGACCAAAGAAAATTTTTGTTTAGTGATTTTATTAATATTTATAGGCCGCCCTTTTCCCTGAGGGACTCAGGGCGGCTTACATAAAATGGGGAAGGGAGGATACAGACAATAGACACAAAATAGTACATAAAGGTAAAATAGAAAACAACATTCATTCATCATTCGGGTGGGGACAGATTATCTTTATCCCCAGGCCTGACAGGCTAGCCAGGTCTTAAGGGCTGTGCGGAAGGTCTGGACGGTGGTGAGGGTACGAATCTCCACGGGGAGATCGTTCCAAAGGGTCGGAGCTGCTACTGAAAAGGCTCTCCTCCGTGTGGTTGCCAGTCAACACTGACTGGCAGATGGTACTCGGAGGAGGCCTAATCTATGCGATCTAATTAGTCGCAGGGAGGTAATTGGCAGGAGGCGGTCTCTCAAGTACGCAGATCCACTACCATGGAGGGCTTTATGAGTGACTAGTAGCACCTTGAAGCGCACCCAGAAATCAACAGGTAGCCAGCACAGCTCGCGGAGGATAGGTGTTATGTGGGCGAACCGAGGTGCACCCACAATCACTCGCGCGGCCGCGTTCTGGACTAGCTGAAGTCGCCGGATGCTCTTCAAGGGCAGCCCCATGTAGAGCACATTGCAGTATTCCAGCCTAGAGGTCACAAGGGCCCGAGTGACTGTTGTGAGGGCCTCCCGATTCAGGTAGGGTCGCAACTGGCGTACCAGGCGAACCTGGGCAAATGCCCCCCTGGTCACAGCCGTCAGATGATGGTCGAAAGTCAGCTGTGAATCCAGGAGGACTCCCAAGTTGCGAACCCTCTCTGAGGGGTATAAAGTTTGACCCCCCAGCCTGAGTGATGGAACACTGATCGAATTATTGGGAGGGAAACACAACAGCCACTCGGTCTTCTCCGGGTTGAGTACAAGCTTGTTAGCCCTCATCCAGTCCATAACGGCCTCAAGACCCCGGCTCATCACGTCCACCGCTTCATTGAGTTGGCACGGGGCGGACAGATACAACTGAGTATCGTCCGCGTATTGATGGTATTTTATCCCGTGCCTCCGAATGATCTCACCCAGCGGTTTCATGTAGATGTTAACTAGTAGGGGGGATAAGACCGAACCCTGCGGCACCCCATATGATAGGGGCCTAGGGGTCGATCTCTGCCCCCCCACTAACACCGACTGCGACCTGTCCGAGAGGTAGGAGGAGAACCACTGCAAAACAGTGCCTCCCACCCCCACCTCCCGCAGTCGTCGCAGAAGGATACCATGGTCGATGGTATCGAAAGCCGCCGAGAGATCGAGGAGAACCAGGATAGAGGGATGGCCTCGGTCTCTGGCTCTCCAGAGATCATCGGTCAATGCGACCAAAGCGGTTTCTGTGCTGTAACCAGGTCTGAAGCCCGACTGGAAGGGGTCGAGATAGCTTGCTTCCTCCAAGGACCGTTGGAGCTGGAAGGCCACCACCTTCTCGACAACCTTCCCTACAAAAGAAAGTTTCTAAGTGCATTCAACTACATTTATGGAAAAGTACCTTTTGAACTTCCTTGTTTAAACGATTTAAAATGTTGAGAGGATATATACCTACTCTGTTAAGCTAGAGACTAAACAAGACTTTGCAAAATTGAACTTAAGATAACCCATATAGTAGTTTCCCTCTTCTAGCCTTGTAAGGAAGGCTAAACAAAAGGTCTAAGATCACTTTTTGAAGAGTAAGCTTTATTAGATGTGTTTTGCCCCAGTAATTTCCAATTTCTATTTTTTTAGGAGAGACTACTTTTAAATGGAGGTATTATTATGAAACCAATATTACTGTTTTCTAAGCCATTATTATCCTCCTATTTCATGAGTACCTGATCCTAGGTTTTCTTAGCTTAATTACAGCATTTAGCTATAAAAAATTGGAAAACTTTTAATGTTTCTCTAAAAAATACTACAACATGAGTAAAGATAAAGCTATACATTTCCTGGATATATTTATAATATTGTAATGCATGTTAGAAGAACAGCCTTATTCTAAAAAATTGGTTCATTTATCCTTAAATGTCACTATCATACTGGAAGGATTAGATGGCACCTTTTTCTGTGTCTTTAATTTTCTCCCATACTATTTTATTTCTCATATTAAACTTGTGCCACCTAGTGTTCATAGGAATTCACAGCTACTTTTCTCATATTTGTATGTACAATTTTTCTCATATTTGTATATACATTTCAATTTTTTATCATTTCAAAGAAGATAGATGGATATACTTAGTCAAAAAAGTATTCATTCTACAAATTGCTCTGTTATACATACATACATACATACATACATACATACATACATACATACATACATACATACATATATAAAGGAGAAGGCAAGTGATTTTATTTTCAGGTCATTAAGGATAAGTATTTTTAAAATAGAGTATACAATTTTATTTACCACAGTCTTCAAGACTGCTGACAGTGCTAGTTGTCTTCCTTTTTAATGCTTTGTTGCAAGAGTAGCATTTCTTAAAAAAATAAAAGAATGCTAGAATTCAACACAATGAATTAAAAAAAAAACCAAGTAATTGCAGCACAAAAAGAAATGGGAATTCAAATCCTGTTTAGATACGAAGGTCAATGGACATTTTAAAATAAATGACTGTTTCTGGAAACAAGTTACTTAATTGTTCCTGTGTAACTAAAACATTGTTCTGAGTGTCTGAGCAAAACCAAACTTAGTGATTTAATAATTATATGAAAGCTGTCTCTGAATAATTTTACGTGCTCTGAAAATATGAAATGCTTTAGAACTTGAATCTAGCAATTCTATGTGATTAACTGAATTTTTCTCATGCAGTTTTGGCATTTTATAACATTCCTTCAAAAGAACTTAAGCCTTGCTGCCATTTAGGCTCTAACAAAAAAAGACTAAAGACTTTGGCTAAGAATATCCTGAATGTTTATAGGCTAAACTGAAAGCAGAAAATTGCTTTCACAATATAGAATGAATTAGTGTACTATAGTTCAAAAGCAGCCAAAATCTGACTGTATTTAAAGTGACTTAAACCCATCAAAATCTGGGAGGTTTTGTTTTATTTGTTTTTGTCAGTTTCCAATCATATTTGCACTCCACCAACTTTGGCTAATCTCTGAAGTTGAAGAGGGCTGGCCTTCCTTTTATTTAGATACAGGACCACCTGGGAAAATCTGAGTTGCTAACTAGGATGAAAAGTAAAAAATATATAATGGGAAAATGGCAACTTTTTAATAATATCAAGACAATTGCAATGATGTAGTCACCAGGAGTCAACTAAAGAGCACCTTTACTTCTTATGTACTGTAGGCACAAGCAAATAGCCAGGAGAAATGCCCATGATCATCTGGGATATAATTAGCTAGCAAATATAGGATTTTGTTCCTATCTCCAAATACCTTTTGTGAAGACCTAATGGCATTATGCCCAATCAATTCTTTTCCAGAAACAGGAATTAGGAGGGAAAGAATGGCCAAATGTATTGATGAGCCAAAAGTGGCAAGTGTTTCAGTAAATAACTCTGAACTTTGAATAGCATAACTATTGCTACTGAAGTAATTTTATTACAGGTAATACTTGATTTACAACAGTTTGTTTAGTGAACATTCAAAGATGTTCAGCACTGAAAAAAGTGACTTATGATTGGATTTTAAACTTACATCCGCTGGAGCATCCCCATGGTCATCTGATCAGAATTTGGATGCTTGGCAACCAACACATATTTACGACGTCCCAGGGTCTTGTGATCACCTTTTGCAAATTTTTGACACGCAAAGGCAATGGGAAAACCAGATTCACTTAACAACCGTGTCACTAACAACTGCAGTGATTCATTTAACAACCATGGCAAGAAAACTCATAAAATGGGGCAAAATTCACTTAACAACTGTCTCACTTAGAACATAAATTTTGGGCTGAATTTTGATTGCAAGTCGAGGACTGCCTGTATCTACAATAAATATGCCTTTAAAATCCCAGGACCTTTTGGAAATGTGGTAGCTCAAAAGGTTTTCTTCACCACTATTAAGGTGGAGAGTGGTAACTGGTAGAGAGATCTTGAAAGTCCTAATTGGCAATCTTTAAATATAAGCCAGCAGTGTGCTGCAGCTACCAAAAAAAGCCAACACGTTCATAGGCTGCATTAACAGAGAGATATAATCAAGATCATGTGAAGTGTTAATACCACTTTATAATGCCTTGGAAAGGCTACACTTGGAATACTGCATTCAGTTTTAGCCACCACGATATAAAAAAGATGTTGAAACTCTAGAAAGAGTGCAAAAACCAACAAAGACGATTAAGGACTGGAAGTTAAAATTAAATATCTGAAGAATGGTTGCAGGAATTGGGTATGTCTGGTTTAATGAAAAGAAGGACTAGGTGTAACATGATAGCAGTGTTCCAATATCTCAGTGGCTTCCACAAAGAAGAGGGGGGTCAACCTATTCTGCAAAGCACTTGAAGACAGGACAAGAAGCAAGGGATGGAAACCTATCAAGGAAAGAACCAAACTAGAACCAAGGAGAAATTTCCTGATAGTTTGAACAATGAATCAATGGAACAATTTGCCTCCAGAAGTTGCAGATTTTTAAGAAGAGATTGGACAACCATTTGTCCGAAATGGTATAGGGTTTCTGCTTGAGCAGAAAGTTGGACTAGAAGACCCCCAAGGTCCCTTACAACTTTGTTATTCTATTTTGTTATTCTTCCTAATCCTTTATTACAGCTACTGCTTCATCTCTAATTGACTAATCATTCACTAATTGATTCCCAATAATAATATCAGTAAATAATTCCAAAGATGGTGCAATTCATATTTGTCACAGATTTTCTCTCAAGTTTCAATTTCTAAATCTAATTTTTCTCACAGTCTTAGAGAACAGGAGTTAAAGGTGTTTGGTGAACCCAAACTTAGCCCTTTTGTACTTAAAAGAAATTAACTGGGAAATCAAGCTAAAAGCTAACTCAGTAGTTATTATCAGCAAGTGTGGGACTGAGAGTCAAGTTTTTTCAATCATACACAGAAGAACTATGGGTTCAGAAGAACACTTTTTTAAAAATCTCAATTCAGTTACAGATGTGATGCTTATGAACAGGCATCTTGTGTGAATGGCTCTAACACACCAAATTAACTGTTCACAGCATCACACACAAAATCGCATCTTTTCCCTGGTTGTTGGCAAGATATTCACACAATGCAAAGTGAATAAATCACTGTTTTAGGTGTCCACTGTCAATCAATTAAAAGATATTGGGTGACCAACTCCTCACAGGAAAATTAATATTTATAGGTTAGATGTTCCATGTGCAATGCATGTGACACTTACCATTAGTTTTTGCAGTTTTTGGTAACTAGAGAATTTTCATTATCAGTTTCACTCTTTCCAAAAGGATGGAAAGATAAGAGCAGCACACAGTATAAACCAGAAGTTACTAGACCATCACACTTTAATTACATTTAGAACTCTAACTTTAAAGTGTTGCGTATTATATTTCTTCAATAATAAAACTTAGCAATGTTTCACTACCAAGTACAGATTTGAAAAGTTGTTGCTTTGAAATAGTTTAGTGTGGCATCTTGCGAAACACTAAGGAATAACCTTTGCTATATCACTTAGGCAACTTAAAATACATTCTAAAACATTTACATAGTATCAATTATTGGCTTAGTCATGTTTTCATATTAAATCATTTTAATTTCAATTATAAGCTTTGTTCTTTCTGTTTTTTTGTTTTATAATTGTTAAAATGATGGAATACAAAAGGAAGGAAAGCACATTAAATAACGCTCAAACAGTGAAAAGCAAATCTTAAATATGTTTCAGTAATTAAAAAAATTAAAAAGTAATAACCTTCCAATTAATTAACAAGAAAAGATTTATTACATGTAAAAATATCTATATAAAATTAATTCAATTGTTATTTATCATAAATCTCAACCATACAGCAACATATAATGTCATATAATCATTTTAGAATACAGAAACTTTTCAGAATCATTACTTACTATTCTGTCTTTCTGGATATGTTTAACAATATATCACATTCATACTGCTTTAATTATACAATTTTATTTTATTTGAAAAGGTATCCTTCTCTCCTGACTGTTCCCCCACCAGATATGAGACAAATCCTGATATTTAATATTTAGACATTTTTATAAGCATCGTTCTTCAAATATGTATTTAGGGACTAAGTATAAGTATAATCTTTATTGTCATTGTACTTAAATACAACGAAATTGACTAAGGCAAAATGGGAGATCTGTTTAAGTTTAGAATAATCTAGTTGCTTTGATGTTATAAGGCTCGTTGTTTATAATGCTGTTTGCACTGAAAAGCACAAAGAATTGTGGTTTTTCTCCCAAGGACGTTTTATGATTGGCTTAGAACATATGGTACATTTGACCACTCAGGTAGAAGAATGTTTGGCAACAATAATTTATTAAACTATTAGCAAGAATAGTATGAGAAAACAATGAAGGGAAAGAAGGGGAGATTAATTTCCTGAGAAAGTATAAGTGATTCCTTACTTCCAATCTACTCCCCTTTCCATGTTTTCCCTTTAATTAGATGAACTAGATTTTGGTGTCTGCCTCTCAAAATCGACTAAATTCTAGGATTAGCCAGTTAGGGTTTGAGTTTTCCTTTCTCTGTTAAAGTTTATTGTAAGATTTACTTACAATGACATTGGGTTCTTAAGAATTGAAATAAGATGCAATTGAGAATTCTATCCTGACATCTTTACCAATAACAACTGCAACTCCAGATTAAAACTGCCACAATGTTCAATAGCATAGCTCACCGGAATTTATATAAATTGGTCAACAAAACTATAGAGAGGAGATGCAAATTTATAGATAGCTTGTGCCTAAAGATAAGAGAATCTGTGAATTTGTGAAACACTTCAGTGTCTTTTGAACACAAAGAAGTTGAAGTTATAATAATGGGGGAATGCAACGTTGACTGGAGAGGTGGTAAGTGCTCTCGATCCTACTTGTTGAGTTTCCAATACTTGCCGCAGACTATACTCACCAATAACGAATCTTTTATCACACATGCCATCTCTTGCATTGATCTTGTTTGACTGGATATTAATTGTTCAATATTTTGTAGTATTGCCTTCTCCAGACTAGGAAGGTGACGAAGCCATAATTGCAGGACAGCAGTTTCAGATAATGAGATATTTTTCCTATATTAAAAACAGGAGTTGAGATTTCTGTATATATTTCACTAACGTGTTGTGCAATTCTTGTCTTTCTTCCTATTTTTATCTCTGTGTCCAAAGAAAAATGTTCTTTTAGTATTCTTTGCTACAAGTGATATTTTTGAACTACTATTTTTGAACTACTACATTCCCCATTAACCAAAGAGATAAGCTGTGAAAGAAAAACAGGAGGAGGAACTAATCATTTTAGAGCAATAGTAAATAATCATGGAGTCCTCCAAATATATTTGATAATTGCTTCTACCATACCCAGGGAGTGGAGCCACTGATCATGCTGGCTGGTGATAATGCTACGTTTAGTTTAACACCCTGGAAGATCCTACATTGAAGAACCTTAAAAATAGGTGTGCAAAACAATAATTCTATTTAACTGTGAACAAAATCTAAAATAAAATGTGAATTTGGTATTTATCGTATGTGATATAGAGATTTCTACTTTTTCCTGGGAAAAGAAAATACATGCAGCATGTTACTGTAAGTGGTCAAAAGCCACTTATCTCTGCTGAATATATGGATAATACTAATATTTTATGTAAGGCTGACATTTTTCAAAGGTAACATCTGGATTATCATTACAAAAAACATCATAGCAGTGGCAAACAAGTTATTTTACAAATAAAACACATTCTTTTTCAATTTACAAAATGAAATCCATCTGTAGAACAGATTTCCAACATTTGCATCAATTACAGAATGCACAAAAGCTCATCAAATGAGGGAATAATCAAGATAATTTATGAAAAAATAAGCAAAACCCATGTCTGAAAACGTGTCCATAAACTATTAATAGATTGCAATAAATTCTTAGTTCAGCACAGATATATCAAATTAATTTTCAACATACAGAGTTATTGAATTAGCATTCTTGTTACTAGACAAGAAAATTCTCTTATTTTGGAGTCTACTTACTGTAGTATAGCCTCATTCAGTGCTTCTAAAAACTGAGAGTGAAGCACTTCTTGTGGTCCCTGATCATGATAGTTAAGGAGAGCTTCAAGAAGTGGTTTTATATCAGGCAGAGTTATAAGAGGTATGCAGAGAAGAGACATGGAGGTTACTCGACAAGAGATGCTGCAGGAACAAAATTATATCTGTTACATAGATGAAGAAACATTTTAACTGCCCAGTCACTGGGAGTTTGGGCAGGATATAAACATATATTTTTTTTAATACTTTAATTGTTCATAAAATACAGATTGCCAAGAAGTTCCATTTACAAAATGACAAACGAATGGCATATAACAAGTCCTTATGTATTAAGCTCTTCACAAGGATTCCCGGTTTTGTGTGGCAGTGTGCAAAACCAGGCAAACTAAGAGCAAATGAACCTGCCTGAATATAGAGAGACAGAATTGGTTCAGGCTTGGCATTAACCATTGGTTACTTTTTAACTTCTTTTTTTATACTTCGGTGTATATATGCCATGTCAGCTCTTGTACTATATTCTCAGGTTTGACAAGGGTCTGTAAATTAAATTTATAATCCTGAAATCCCTTTTGGATAATTTTATTGTTTTATCTATCAGTATTTTTTGTATTTGAACTTAATGTTGCTACTGGTATTTTAAAGTTTATAGGATTGCTCATTTTAATCTCTTTTCTGTTTTGTCTTACATGTGTAGCCTGAGCAAGCACCCTAACATTTTTACAATTTAATGCTGTCTTTTAGACAAAATGCTTTGTTTGTATATACCTTTCCCATTTAGCTTGATAGTGTTAATTTAGTTTTCAATATTTGAATACCAATTCACTTAGGCTGGTTCATGACTGCAATAAACTTATTTAGTGAGCTCTAAACTTCAATCTTTTCCTGCTAGTAGAAGGCCGACCTAACTAGAAACATTCAAAATAGGGAAAAATAAGAATTTTAGTCCAATATAGCTGTCAAAAAACTATTGAAACTCTCAAAAAATTGTTGGCCATATGTTCTATAATGCCACCAACTCTGAAAACATTTAAGTATGGGTCCGGACATGCCACATAGGCACTACTACATATTAAAGAAACCAAAAAAACATCTAGACAAACAACCCATCTGAAACCGGGAGATAAATAAAAGTCCAAATGACAAAGCTATATTTACCTTTCCAATGATAAAATTGGTAAAAAAAAAAACCAAACAAACCTAGGACCACAAAGTAGTTTGAGGACTTTCTTTTAGCTCTGTTTTTACATTATTTGTAACATATATCATTTCTATAAATAATGTGTTTCTCAATAAAACCATGCTTATGCATAGTTTGGAATATGTCCACATAATGTTAGTAAGTATCTTTCCATAGATTTTTTTTCACACTAGTTATGTAGTTATGCTAATATTAATACCTACTTTTCTTGACTGTTAAATCCATTAACCTGGGTTCTGCCGAGTTCCATCACTAATGATGAGACTATCTGTTAAATAAATGTAATTATCAACTTAAAGTAATATAGGAAATCTTCCAGTAATGATTACATCAGTGATATTTTCTCCCTGTTGAATTTGCACTTCGAGGTGAATGAACAATCAATTTGTTGAGGCCTATGGACTAAAAGATGTGAAAATAATTTCTCCAAATTTATTTTATGTCAATGAAACAATTCAAAATATACAAGCTTCCGTAAATTTAATCCAATTAAAATAAACCAATGTTCAGGAACAAAGTTTGATTGAAAAGGCAGACTGAAATATTCCAAGTATTTAAACATACTTTATTTACTGTTACGGTAACTAGAGAAAAATATCTTTTTCTTTTAAGAATGAAAGCTACCTTTTGTTTTCTCTTTAAATTCTAGTTCTAACAGTGTCCTATGAAGATATCCATTCCAAGTTTTTGTTATTAAGTCCTGGATGCAATATTTACATCTAATTTCATTATTACTATTATGACTATTAATCATGTAATAATACGGTATATTTGTTTTGATGGGCTATATCAATCTTCAGTATTTACATATTTAAGTGGTTCGCCAGAAAACAAGAATAAAAAGCTAACTATATATAGAAAATAGAGAAACTGTGCATGGTTTAAAACCACGTTAAATCCAATTTGGTTTTCATTCTGGTTCCATTCATTGCTTTGTCTTGGCCTTTCTCATTTTGGCTACAGAAATTACCCTCTAGGCAAGAAAAACTGGAGTGGAAATAAAGAACTTGCTCTACAATCATTCCCATTATATTCTTTACAAAGAGACAGCTATTATCAGACATATTTAGCAAACCAGCTCTTTGCTAGATAGGAACTGCTGGCTGATCTTTTATGTGGTAAGTCAAAGCAGCCACATTCCTCCATTTCATAAACTTGTAGGAATTTGTACTTTATGTTGTTCATGAGAATTAATGACAACTGCCAATACTATAGATGCCTGACAACTTGGAGGAAGATGGTAGCTCCTTTCTACAAGTGTCAAAATCAGGGGTAAATGAACTTTCACGTTACCAAATTGCCAACTTATACAAAATACTCACATTTTCAATGAGTTTAGAATAGTAATCTGCTGATGTGAAGCCAAGAGTTGAAATAAACTTATTAACATCAGCATCATGATTTCCCAGTCCACAAAATGACAGCAGATGGCACAATGACTTCTAGAAGGAACATGTCAATAGAAGAAATAATTAAAATAGATATATTCCACCAAAAATTAATTTTATCTTATGTGAAAATGGGGAAAGGATAACAAGTAACAATAATTACAATAATGTGACCTCTTTATCTAAAATATAAAAAGACACGTTTGACTTAATAGAAAACAGGAATCAACTGAAAGAAACCAGCCCAAATATCCATATATTCAGTAATAAGTTACCTGCTTTGAACTGATTCGGTGATTCAGACTAATATACACTTTTGCCATAAAGAATAAAAGTAGAGAAAATGCTTTTAAAAGATACTGTACAAAAGAAAAGCATTAATAAAAATGGAAAATAGCAACATCCAACTCTTGTTTATTCTGATTTTTTTTGGTGGAATATTAGTTTGGCAGGTTAAATATGGTACTTGATAGATGTACTTGACAATTATAAAGTATCTATTTTCTATAGAATAGTTGTTTTACTGCCACCTAGCGGCATACCTGTAAAAACTACAATAATTTTTAAATGTTTGAATTTTTAACATCATAGTGACAAAAAGTTAAATGGCAATGTACAAATCTGATAAATAGATAAAGTCAATTAAGTAATATGTTAATTCTATAGCAAAACCCATTATTCAGTATGGAAAAATGGTGTTTATTTAAATGTGAAATATAAATAAGCCACACATGGAACAGTTACTTTCCTACCAAAGTGGTACCTATTTATCTACTTGAATTTGCATGTTTTCCAACTGCTAGGTTGGCAGGAGCTGTCACATGGTATAAGTGGAATGCTGGCGGTAATATCACTCCTTTCCTTAATTTCACATACAGGAGCAACTACAACCAGAATTGCCATCTCTAAGCAGCCCGGTTATAAAGGTGACATAATGTGACTGTATTGCTTAGTGATGGCAATCCCAGCTATCTTAGTTGCCAGACTATTAAGCAGAAAAATGTGGGAGTCTCAGGTGTGGAATGCAGGAATTATGTGTGAGTCTGCTGCAGGAGAAGCATTAGGAAGAATAGCTGGCGCTGGGGACCTGCCTATGGTTGGCACGGGTCATGGTTGCAGGTGAGTGTGCATTACAGAGTATAGCTGGTCATGGGGCGTTTGCTAAGGAATACAAGATCCCTGGGATTTTATACTAGCGTAGTGTATGTAGTGGGGCTGCTTGGGAGAAAAAGTGGCAGAAACAAGTTGTCTGGAAAGATCCCCCTCATTCAGTGTCATCATAATTTAGAATGATTGATGAATGAATGGTCATGAATTAAGGACTACCTGCAAATATTTTGACTGAACATGCTGTTTATGTTTGCGACTTTGGTGAATGTATAAATAATTTTGGTTTCTGCTGAGATTCTGTGTGTGTGTGTGTGTGTGTGCATGTGCATATGCATTCTATTCATTGTATAGCTTGTGTCTTTGAAGATGATGTCTTCATCTTCAAAGACACCAGCTACACAATCAACAGAATAAAAGAGAACTCAGAGTGCACATGGACACAAATTCAGTACGACATCATCAAAGTAATTCAATTATTATTATTACCCTTTCCACATAAACATCTGGGTTGATGGCTTGCTCTGATCTGGTTGGTTCTCCTGTGATTTTTTTACTTTTGAGTGCATTTCAGAAACAAGGAGTAACTCTGGTTAATTGACTCTTAAGAGTTTTTTATGTTGCTGTATCATTTATTCATAACTATATTGCCCTGCACTCTCGTGCCTTCTTGCTTATGGAGATTTCATAGGTCATTAAAAATTCACACACACACAATGCTTTATATTGTTAAATATGTGTGCACGTGCATACCCTTTACGCTCTTGTGAACTGTTGATACAGTCCATGGGTGCATTTAGCTTCAAAGGCATGTTTGAAGTTGTTGGTTTGACTTGTTTCCTAGGATTCTTTTATCCCTGTAGCATTTCAAGCATAAAAAGAAGTTGTTTTACTGAGTAAGGGAGTGTCTGTGATCCATAAATACTCTTGTCTTGTGTGCTGTTCAGAACTACTAAAGAAGTAAATCAGAGATTTCTTGTATTTCCCAGGGTGGGGTCTCTATCCTCAGTAGTAGTAGTAGTAGTAGTAGTAGTAGTAGTAGTAGTAGTAGTAGTAGTAGTAGTAGTAGTAGTAGTACTTCTCCTCCTCCTCTTTCAGATTAAAAGATTTTTTTTGTTCTTGACAGCAAGTCAGAAATGGAAACAATCTGCAGATAATCCTTTGAATTGCTTGAAATTCATTTAACATTTTTGAGCAGAATGTATCAGGTATGAGCTGCTCAGCGGCTGTTGAGGCAGATTGAGAGGCATTCTGGGGACAAAATTGATTGCATTTACATGAAAGGCAAGAAGTCATGAAAGATAATATGCATGGATGCTGCATGACTTCATGGATATTCCATCTATTGTTCTGGCACTGTCCTTCACCCAATGCAGCATCTACACAATAAAAAGGCTCCTGCTAAAGCAGCAAATAGGGGGCATGAGGAGGAGAGCTTTCAGCCAATGAAACAATTGCATCCTTTCCTGGATCAAAAGGTGTGGAAGTAAGTTACTCACTTCCTTGTCATCTTTTGATTAGCCTATATGCAGTCCTTGCTTAACAACTGCTCTGTTTTGTGACCAGAGCTACACCGGAGCTAACAAAGTAATCTTACTATTTTTTGTATTGGTTTTCTTCTATGGTTAGATTTTTAATGAAGGGTTTGTTCTGAATTTTATTTCTGATCCCACAATCCAAATATCTGAAACAATTTAACAATTTAAGATTTTCTGCCAAAACAATAAATTATTTTCAATTTTTGTTTCTATTGCACTATAATTGGCCTGAAAAAGGTAAAAAAAACAACTTTTTTATGAAATATCTGTGAAAGTAGTGCTGTGTTTGATGCTGAACAATTCCAACTGATTAATGGATTGTGTCATTCATTTGCTTTCTCTTTTCTTCATTCTCTTATTTTTTCTTAGTGTTCTTCTTTCTCCCTATTTTAAGAGGCAAAACCATGATGTAGTTTTTTAAAAAATTTAAACAGTGATTTGTGGAGGGGACAGACCCCATGGCTTCCTGCAATGACAATTTCATACTCAGGTTTGTAGTCTGGATGTTATTTAAAAGTTTTTGAAGCCAGACATTCAGCTGGAGTGACCTCATGAGCAATTATTTAGATTCTTGAGAGATAAGACTTCCATTTGATCAGATTTTATTCCATTCCAGACCCCCTTAATTTCAGGATTTTTGTTTTTTTGTTTTGTTTTGTACAACATGGACAAGAAATATTCAAGGATTTGTGAACAAAAACATGCAAACCTATCAACACAAATACTCTCAGCTGCTGCTCTGCACTAGACACCAGATGTTATCTATTTATTCATTCTATTTTATAGATTTATAGCCCATATTTCTTCAGGGAGCTCAGGGTAGCATATATAGTAGTGTCTCCTCACAAAATTTATCTCTCAACAAGCCTGTAAGGTAAACTGAGTAGAAATATTATGACTGGACCAAACACCTTCAGAGAATTTTCATAACTGACAGAAAATGTGAATCTCTGTTCCCTAATCCAATTCTAAAATGTTTGCTATTACATTATCACACCATTCTGACTTGCAGTTTCATTATTCTGAAGTCAAATCAGTGTGATTATACACACACATTCTCTCTCGTTCTCTCTCTCTCTCTCTCTCTCTCTCACACACACACACACACACACACAGTAAAACTATGCTTCCAGGAGTGTTAGAATGCATGTTTTCTAGACTAATTAAATGAAGCTTCAGAGTAAAACCAAAACAAGTTCCTTAATATTTAAATCAGAGACTGTTTTTCTTGTTCGATTCATTTGCACTGTAAAATGTAAAGTAATAACAAGACTTTAAACATTCAGGCAAAATACGAATCGTTCTATAGCATTTACTAAAAAATAAACTGCTAATGTTGCAAGGGCAAAAGTAGTTACTTATTTTTAAAAATTATGAGGAAAGAGTTAACTGAGGAAAATGTAAACTGACAGTAGATGGTTTATTTCAAAAAGGTTCACTTCTTTCCCCAAGTCTATCTTGTACAAAAGCTACTGGAAAAATTGAGGAGCTGAAACAAGTTAGAGGGAAACACCCTTTGGAAAAAAAAATGTTAAGAGATCTTGGGAACTTTGTGTACTTCTATACTGCTGCAATCTGTAGTCAAAAAAGCACTGACAATTCTTTGCATACTATGACCACCCACATTATGGGAAGCACTATGATTAAAGTGAACCTGGCATTCCAATATTGAATAGTGTAGTCTGCTCCATGTTGTCATTATTATATTTGCAGTCCTCTTTTAATCACTTTCATGTGTTGCAGCTATCCAATCTACATGGTCCGGCCTGGGAAGAACTGAACATTCTTATTTTGAATGTGTGATCTGTATGTAAGCATCCACATTTTGCTACAGAACTAGAAACTCTGCATTTAATTTCTTACAAAAAAAATTCCAAACTTTATGCCAAACGGTATTTATTAAAAATGTATTTAAAAACGATAAAACAGAGGCTTCAAACCAATTTAGAAATATACTAAAGGAATATGGGATGAGAAGGAAACGCAGTAGAGGAAAACACCAGGGAGAACATTCCAGAGCTTAAACTTTTATAGTTACATAAACATTTTTTGACTAACTGGATTGACGACTAAGAGAGACAGTTCTTAAAAAGGCAAAACCAAATGATAGGTACTTCCAGATGGGTGTGAGAATGACTGCTAACAAATAATAAAAATGGCTTTTATTTCAAGACAGATATTGGTAACATTTTACTGATGAAACTTGGTCTCCTGGCTAGCTAAAAGAGATGGGAAGGGGCAGAGCCAAAGTTTCCATCCATTAACAGATCTGAAAGATTATACAATGTAATACAATACAATAGCAGAGTTGGAAGAGACCTTGGAGGGCTTCTAGTCCAACCCCGTCTAGGCAGGAAACCCTATACCATTTNAGTGCCAGCTCTTCGGCTTTGAAACGGAGATGAGCACCGCCCCCTAGAGCTGGGAACAACTAGCACATATGTGTGAGGGTAACCTATACCTTTACCTTACACCTAGGCAGGGAAACCCGGCTGAAAAACAGTCACTGTGAGAGGGACTTTGAAGTCCTAGTGGACGATCACTTAAATATGAGCAAGCCGTGTGCGACAGCAGCCAAGAAAGCGAATACAATCCTTGGTTTTATAAACAGAAGCATGGAATCAAAATCATATGAATAACCTGAAGTATTAGTACCACTTTATAAAGCCTTAGTAAGACCACGTCTGGAATACTGGATCCACTTTGGTCACCACATTACAAAAAAAGGGGCGAAGTGCAGTGAAGAGCAACTAAGATGATGAAAGGCCTGGAGACCAAAACATGTGAAGAATGGTTGCAGGAATTGGGCATGGCTGGTCTAAAGGAAAAAAGGACTAGAGGGGACATGATAGCAGTATTCCAGTATTTGTGGGGTTGCCAACAAAGAAAAGGGGATCAACTTATTTTCTATAGCACCAGAAGGCAAAGCAAGAAATGATGGAAACTACGCAAGGAGAGAAACAACCGGGAGTTAACGAGAAATTTTTTAATAGCGAGGACCAGTAGAACAATTAACCACTGCTTTCATCATTGTGGTTTTTAAAGAAAAGACTGGACAGCCACTTATCTGAAATGGTATAGGGTCTTCTGCTTGAGCAGAAAGAGGTTGGACTAGAAGACCCCCAAGGTCCCTTCCAGGTCTATTCTGATTTACAGTTTGGTGTAAATCAGAGGTGGGCCACCAATTTTTCTACTACCAGTCTTTTATGCACATTCGTATAAGCGTCCGGGTGGGTGGGCGGAGCCCTCTGCCACCGCTACTACCAGTTCGTCTGATCCAGGCCGAATCGGGAGCAACCCACCTCTGGTGTAAAGGTCATTGGCACTAGACTAAAAACCAGGCAATTGTGAACATCTTGTCCTGCCTTCTGCACAAAAGCAACTGGTCCAAAGTCACCCACTCCCAGGAAAAGTAAAGTCAAACCTTTCCCAAAATGTTGCCAAGAAAATTGCATGAACTTATGAATGTAGTTACTAAGTGCTGAGACTTACCTGAAGGCATACATGCTGTATGGAAGCGCTCTTGATGGGAAGCCTGTGAAATTAAATTGGAAATCTAGTGTGGAATTTTAAGAATGGATATTTTTAACAAAATATTAGTGTGTGGCAGTGGTGGGATTCAAAAATTTTACTACCAGTTCTGTGGGCATGGCATTGTGGGTATGGCATGGGTTTGTAGGCGTGGCTTTAAGGATATGGCAGGGTACTGCAAAATCTCTGTTCCCTCCCTACCCCATTAACCATCTTTCCAGCTCTGTTCTCCTGTTCAGGGCAACGAAAGAAGATTAGCTGGGAGGCTGGGAGGCAGCAGGGGCAGGGGCAGGGCCAGCCTATTTGCCGGTTCTCTGAGCTACTCGAAATTTCTGCTACTGGTTCTCCAGAACTGTCAGAACTGGCTGAATGCCACCTCTGGTGTGTGGGAGAACTCATGTAAATTGCCTAGACAGAAGAGTGGGATTCAACACGAGGCCCTTTTAATTTTCATGCTATCTGTAACCATTCTAATGTGTGGCTGTGTAGTTTTGACTGACAAAGGTTTGAAGCGTGATTTGGAAATTAAATAAGGAAAGCAATGTTGAATTGGCAGAGCAGGGAAACTGCAGCCAGGAATGTACCTCTAATTTAGGGCAAAGAGCAATAATGAGAGCCCATAAAAATAAATAGCCATGATGTTAAAT